TAAACATGCTTCTTTACTTCACCCTGCTGACACTTTCTGTGGCAGAATTTGTTTTTCATCTAGCAAAAAAAAAATAAGGCTATACGTTTATTATTTCAAAAATAAATTGTGAGTAAACCAAGTGCTATTTTCTATTGGTCTAAGTTTATTGGAAATATGAATTGAAGGAAAGTTTGGGTATTACCTATTAAATATATTTTTCTTAAAATAAATTTAATTTAAGATGCTGCACAAATGTTACCCTGCTAAGCATTTTTTAACCAGATTTATTGAAGATATAGATGTAAATTGTTCATTCTATTCATTACACCCAGAAACGGTACCTCATATTTTCTGACATTGTCAATATACAAAGAGGTTATGGTGGGAGGTTTAGATTTATAAATGACAAAGTGTTGTGCAACTTTCTTCTACTATATGAACATGTAATATTTGGCTTTTTGAGCTATGACAAGAAGTTTGAAAATGAGGCTTACATTATCAATCTCTTGGTTATACTTGTTAAATTTCATATTCACCGTTGTAAATTCAGCAATCAGAAACCTCTTTTTTCTGTGGAATTAGATATCTACAGAAGCACCATTAAGGAGAGTACAAACAAAAAAGCTGCAAAAACTGTGTATTTATTTGGTATATTTAAGTTATTGTGATTTAACAAGGCCTTTCATTTTTTCATTATTTTATTTTATTTGTTGGTTTTATATATACGTGTATAGTTAATATGTACTTTTTATGTTTGTTTGTTTTGTATACCCTTGGCACTTTTGTTTTGTATTTGTAGTTCAAGCATTAATTTAAAAACAAAGTTTGAAAAATGCGCTGTCTGCCATGTTTCTGTAATCGCGATGCGTGAGGAAACTTTACTGATCAAACGAGATGAGAACAAAAGAGCGCCGCGTTTGGATGATTACAGATGAGACTTTATGTACTGGAAATAATCAAGTCAAGTAAGTCAAGTCAAGTAAGTATATCTTGATAAAAGCTTTATTTTTTGTTGTTAATTTTTTGCCATTAGTTCTTGCAATATGAACTAGGAAGGTGAATTCCTATAATGTATCTATGACTGCAATTATAATTATTTATTATATCTGAATGTGATCAATATTTACATTACAATATTTTATTTTAACAAAAAATAAAACTAAATTTAACGATATTGTACAAAATTCAAAGATCCGATCTAGTAATTTAACTAAATCTATATAATCGGTATTATAACCAGTGGTAATATTCAATATATAAGCCATCTCAAGAAATAATGTTTTATTTTTATTATTATTATTATTTTATTTTAGCATTTGAAGAGTGAGATGTTCAGTTCCCTTTCGGTCGGTCACTCCGAGTCATGTCGGTGACCGACAAATTGGGATCTCGCTTCGAGAGACCAATCTACTTCGAGTGTAAACTAAACGAGCCAATGTACAACGAGCCAACTGGCATGCGATGATTGCATCCTGATCGCAGCGCGAGTATAATTAGGCAGCAGGTGCAACCAGGGTTATTACAGTTTTTAATTAGTTTTATTTTAGTATCGTTTTCAAATTTGCTATACAATTCAGTCTAGTTTTTATTAGTCTCATATTGTTGTTAGTTTTAGGTTAGTTTTTATTTTGTGAACACATTTTTATTTAGTTTAGTTTCAGTTTTAATTAAAGTTTAGCAGAATTAACAGATCACTTCCAGAGCGCAGGCCAAAGAAAAACTTAATTTAGCCTTAGTGATGCAAATGTCTACACAGCAAATTACTGAGTAATAAAAACCTAGTGTTGGGCAGCGAGTGATCAAATCTGGTGTTGATTTACAAATATTAAAAGCTTTATCACTTGTTTAGTGATAATGCACAGTGTTTCCTTTGGGTGTTCACATATAATCAACATCTGCGCATGTGCAGAGCATTTTCAATCTCCCGCCCATCCTACGCTACGCTCTCCTGTCTCATTGTCTTTATGGATTTGCCTGCACAACGGTTCCAAGGTATAGTATTATTCATTTATCAACTTGTGATTAATTTATGAACGTGTATCATCACCTAAAGCAAATTGTATTTGTTTTATATTATACTGTTTGTGTGAAAAATAACTTATTTGCCTCATTTTACCCAAACATTGACACGGTCAAAGTAAGTTATGATTATTTCTAATTTATCACAAGATTAATACACAAAGTCAACATTGCATACTCTTCTTTAAGTAATAAAATAAGTATTAAATTATCATAATATCGATAATCAGTAACGTATATGGTTGGCTTAACTCTGTCAGCATTTCTTTTTACCTCAGTTTAATTTCGCGCGCTTTTGTTCTGCAGTTCAGTCTTGAGTTTACCATTTCACGAGTAACGATAAACTAAGATGTAAAAAATCGTAGGTCCATTTTAAAGGACGTTTTAACGTTTAGTAAATGGCAAGACTGACACGGTAATTTTATCCCCCCCTCAAATTCGTAGGACGGCACCATGTCTGAAAGTGAAGCGGTGAGGCTACTAAATTCGATAATGGACGATGGAGATAGACGTAAGTTCATTACCATTGTGCTCATTTTAATTGTTTTGTTAAATAATGTAGCAGTTTAAGCATTTTCTGTGTGGTACCAACATTATGCGCAACTTTGAAACTGACATGATTTGGATAGTTAAACTGAGTTTATTTGTCATTTGGTGAAAGTATCTTTTATAGGGTTCCCCAACATTTATAAGTCCGTTTATATCTTTCATTCCGTAACTACGGGTTTAATTCTGGTGTTTTTAAATGTCATGCAAACCAGAAAGCAGACGTTAATCTAATTAATTGCTCTTGAAATAGTATTTTCTTGAGTGGCGCCTCCGCTAACGGATTAAGCCGAGCACCCACAGACACGCACGAGATATCGGCCTATGATGATATCTCGAGATCGACATCTAGCATCGTTCTCGGGGTACTTTGATAACATTGGCCGATCAGTCTGTACAGCGCTCCAAAAAGTCGAAAAACATTTCTTCTTGAGAAACGCAAAAACGTGCTCGAGCAATAAGTACGGGAGGGCAGCGCTGCATCAGCCGACAGATAGCAACTCAAGACCGGGTAAACCGGTTTGTTTCTCCCGCCGAGGCATTTTTTGTCTTAATTTGTGTTAGTATTAGTTGAGCAGACGTGCATTAGTTGGCCTGACGTGAGGGATTCTTTCTGTACAACTTAGTTCTAGCTTTATATGTGTGGTATTGTAAATCTGTAACAGTATTTAGTGCTTATGTGTGAATATAAAGTTTGAGTTGTTTTGACAATTGACATAGGCATGTGGTAGTTCTTACTGTAATATGTGTGTTGGTATTGAACAGAATCTATAGTAAAACACAAAGTGACCTTATTATATCAAGTCTGTTAGTTTGCTTTTTTCTTTGGAGGATAAGCACCCACTGGCAAAAACATAAACCGACACCTGTGCCCACACTAGAGTGTTGTCAAGCATTTAGTGACAAATTAAAATCTTATTAGTTTTCTTTTTGAATTTGTATCTTATGTATTTTTATGTCATTTTTGTTTGTATAAAGTGTATTCAAGTTTGCTTACCTGTTACAGGTTGGACAGTAAAGGCAAGAACACAATATAGGGACACTAGAAAATATGTAAAACTCAAAGAGCCGTGCTTTTTGGAGTTTGTCACTGAAGGCAAGTCTCTAAATTAAGCTATACTATACAGTAAATGCACAAAGTACTTTAATGTCTTTATGATTAATAAAAAAAAAAATGTAGGGTAGTAACGAAGTTATTGTTTTACAGCAAAAAAAGCATTTACCATTCCAGAACAGACACCTGTTAGGGTAATGGATGACACCTCTACAGAAGTGGACGTGGATGTATTTGCTGAACTTGTTTCTGAAAGGGGCATGTGCTTTAGTTTACATACTAATGATGGTAATTATGTTTATACTTATTTGGTCTTATTTTAAAATTGTGGTGATGTTTACATTTTTGCAAGTGATATTTTTATGTGCTGTATACAGATTCCACTTCTGCACATGAATTGTCCCCCCTTCTGACTGATTGGAAGTCTGTCAGCAGCAAGTCTTCTACCTTTACTGAATGCAATGAAGGCAACAAAACTTCTGCCTGCCCTTCCAAGAGACCCAGGTTGGATGATTCTAAGCTTGCAAAAGAGGTTGGTAAGACAAGGGATGTAACTCAGCTTAAAGAAAATGTTCTCCAGTTTATCAAAAAAAGAAGGAAAAAAAGCAGTTCTATAGACAATGTGTATATTTTGGTATTGTCCGTTTAGACAATTGAAGACATCCTAAAGTGCAAACCTGGTGGTGTAGAAGTGATGCAGCACTATAAATACACTGGTAATCTGCCAACATCCAAAAGAAAGGAGATGATTAATATATTGGTTGCACACATGACTGAACAAGAAGGGTAAGCTTTGTTCATATAATGTTCATATCACTGTACTTCCAACTTATTCAAATATGACCCTGCCTGTGAAACCCAGGCTAAAGTCTCATCTAATTCTGATATAACAAGCATCAAAGTTTGATTTCAACATTTCAAAGTTTTAAATTTCAACCATTAATTTAACTATGATTTCAATCTTTGACACGGCCTTACTCAGACAATATTAAAGATATCAATATTATATTTTCACAGAATAAGAAAATATCACAATAAAATGACTTTAGCTGGGTTTTCACAGGCAGGGTCACAAATGACTTAGAAGTACACTGAAAAAAATAAATCTAGGTGGATGTAAATGTTACATAATTAAATCTGTGATATTAACAATAAAATGTTAAGTTTTTGTCTTTACATTCATATATCTAGTTTTGAATTAATCTGCATTTGTTCAAAATACAAGACGATGTGCATTTTTTTCCTTTACAAAATGTATCTAAGTAATCCCAACCAATCTTCTTAGGTACACACACACAACAAACAATAACCTTGTTTCATTTACTCAATATAAAATAATTACGTGTTTCGTGGGTCTGGTCTGGAAACCCCGCACATTCCAAACGAAGAGGAACACGCGGACTGAACAAGGTAAGAATAAAGTTACCAAAGTAAGGTTAGATGTTTGGTACATTACCATAGTCTTTAATTTTCGAATTGTTGTACAAAAAGGCTTTACATTTAATTTGAAGATAACGTTGTTGTACGTGGATTTACTTTTAATTGCAAAGTGACGATTGTTCGTGTAATTTGAAGCTAACGTTAGCATGCGGCTATGAAATAAGGCATGTAGTGTAAGCTAAGCACGTGGATTTTTAGAGTAGGTTAAAGGATAGCGTCGGTTTTTTTCAAACTGGACCCCATTTCCCTATGTTTTTGTGTTTAAAAACTGATGGGAACAGCAATCTTTTAAATTTTGTTCCAACATTAAGACCGCTGCCGTCTTAATAGGCAATTGCGCACCTTCAATTTATGTCGTCAAAAATGTCGCAAGCGCAAGGTATTGCTTTCCCGCTGCAGTCACACCACTCTCTGCGTCTGCTCTGTTCAGCGAGCAGCACCTTCCGTTGATGGGTGACATAGTGGTGAACGAGCTGCACATGTGCACGCAATGTTGCCACGGAACAGTCACTTATCTGATTCTCCTTTGTTTTAAATTTAAATAATTTATTTGGTCCGTTTTGATTTCTATTAATCTCGTGCATTTATCACTTATATTACTCACTATCACAGGGCTTTAGTTAATTCCATTTTCCGAACTCTTTGAGCACGGATTAGGAGACGTGATGGCGTCATGAATATGCTAAATAATATGCCATCGAGCGACATTTATAGTGACTTTTTGGACAGGCTTGAGATGAGTCCTGTACACTTCCTCGTTCTACACGTGAAACGAATGGAATAAACACACGATTACGATAGTATATGGTTTGTGTGATTTTTTTGTGTGTGCGATTTTCATATCAATAATGGAATAATATTATAAGTGCAAATCAGGTGCATATTAAACTGCATATAAAAGGATAATGTATTTCAACAACATGACTAAAATCCACATTAGATCGCTATCGTAAGTTAATACAAACACTCGATGGTGGTTTAAAGTGAGTTTTAAAGTAAAAGCATTATCATCTTTTCAATTGTGTTAGCTTAATGCTAATTGTAGCTTTAATGCACTTCGCGCCAGGAGCTATTCTATTCCACACACTAATTTGTTAAAATTTGTATTTTTTTAAAGTTGTAATTATTTAAAAAAGCGAAGAAAAAATGTAGTGTTGATTGGCAAGCCATAATGCCAGAATAAAGCCCTAATAATGCGAATTTCAGAGCGGCTTCTGGTTAAACAAAAAGGATTTTACACTTTAACAGGTCTATCTCTGTATAGAGATCCTTTCCATAATGTTGTCGGACACTTATAATAACAATCTGAACCTGTCAATTGCAAAAACAGCACTTTTAGTGCACTGTAATTGACGATGCACATTTGCCCTAGGATTACATACATGTAGGCTACATTCAACAAACTAACCAGCTACTGTATAAAAAATAAAGTAAGAAATGTACAGAAGCACACAGGAGGCTGGATAAAGAGTGCAAATTACAATGGGATGTGCAATGTGTGAATGTGCAATCAGGTTCTCCTTGCAGAGAGTCATATAGAATTATTGCAGCTAGGAATGGCTGGCAGGAATAGGTAGGATTGACTTCCTGTATGGATCCTTATTACAGCAGAGTTAGAGGAGCCTCCGACTGAAGACACTCTGCTGTCTGATCAGCAAGTCAACCACCTGCAGTGGTTGTGGAGAGATGAAAATTTTAAACTGTTTAATTATAGTTATAGTTAAATTATTTGCTATAGTTTTGTTTTCTTGCATTGGTCAGTTACTAACCATAACACTATGTTCTTACCAGGTGATTCGCTTGACAAGTACACTGGATAAAAGGTACGTAACTTTCAATAAATTGGTTTATTGTAGTGAGGAAAGTGGGGGTAAAATTAATTAATTTGTGATGTGAATGCACCATATGTTCCTGGCTGCTCAGAGTCTGCCATTACAATAGTTTCCATTGCTTTGGTAATTTATTTTTGTTGATCCCATGGTGGCAGTTGCATTAGCTAAAAAATACTTTGAGTTTACTTCCACCATTTTAAAGTCACACATCTTCCTATTTAACATTCAATCTGACGAGGCTGTGAGAATAAAAGCTGAACCTGACTGATTACCTGTGGAAAATATATAAGTATGTTTACCTGATGAGGCTGTCAGGAAAAAAAAAATGCTCATCTGATAACCTTATCAATGATGGCTTAATTTTTAATTTTATTATTTTAATTAATCAGTTTCATACTCACCCTAACAATATGCCTCAGAACAATGTGGCTCAATATTGTCATATTTGACCAATCTACTGTAACGTTTATTATTATTTATTAGCTCTAAAAAGGGGAATATTTATGACGAATTATAACTGGTTATGATTCATAATAAATATTTAGATTATATCTTCGAATTAACTGTAGCAGAATCAATATTACAATTATTTGATCTGTCCGTCCACCGAGCAGACAATATAATCATTTATCAATTCAAGGAATATTTATTTTCTGGCCACGGAACAATAAACTGTCCTTCTTTGTACAGTGCTAGCAGTAATTCTTAGCAAAATGTAGCGAGGGTTCAAACATTCATTGACTTGGAACTGTGAACAGTAAACAGAAACAATCCGTTGTGAATATAAGGGATTTAACGTCCAATGCTCATGCATGATCCTACGCAGGCGCTACACTACCTATGTTCAGTTAGTGCCCCAAAGTGACACTTAAGAATATGCTGGAATCTGTGTGATGCAAAGGCATACATAACATACATAAGTGTAAAAGTCAAGACACACACACTCCGAATGCATAGTGCACAAAGTTTTGTTTTAATATGTCCTAGGTGTTCAAAGTAATCCTTTGTAAAGTTCACAATTAAACAAATTTTGAATGAAAGTTGAATGTTTCCTTGACATGTGATTTTAGGGAATTTCAGGATGGACCGAGGCAATCAGTATGTAAGCAGGCAAAAAAAAAAATAGCTGTGGTCTTGCCTTAACTTGTAGTGTTGTTTGGTTAAGATCACAAATGATTGACATAGTAAATAAATATATATTTTCTCTTTACATTTTTGAGGACCGATAAGCAGATAGAGAGGCAAATACAACTAAATGGAAGCTGATATCCTGACTACTACCAGCAAATGATGAATCTCGAAATTGAATTCAACCACCCTGAGATAGACCACCCAATTTGCTCGTCTTTCAGGGTCTGGAATCGGATGTACTCAGATCTAGCATCTGGATTATATGGGATGGATTTGCAAGATTTGTTCCTTTGTTGCTCCTGAAACAAATGAACTTTTGAGGCACTACAGATTAAGGCACAACCACTGTGAATTTCTTCCTTGTTTATATGTCGATTGCCCTTGCTCCTTCAAAACCTATAATGCCCTAAAATCACATTTGAGAAGGACACATTCAACTGACAAATTAACAGCAGAAGTACTTTTTTTAAACTGTGAACTATGCACTTCTTGTTTCTCCACTGAGAAGGATTACTTCCGACATCTTGGAGTTCATCTTAAGAAAAATGAAACTGTGCACTGTGTCTTTAAAGACTTCGATTTTTACACAAATGTTTATGGAACATTTTCATCAC